TGGCTAAATGGCGATAGAATATCAATTAACATATGTTAAATGACCTTCTAAGTCATTTGGGTCTTGAAATGACCCAACGACTAGTCATTTGTCATTTGAGTCATTTGGGTCATTTCAGGTCATTTACCATCACTGATATAATTTGATAGCTTAATCACAGATCAATCACGAAATTTTCAGGCAAATTTGCTGGAAAACGGTTTAAGGATAAATGCTAAAATATCTTCGGGTGACGATCATTATTCGTAATCTGAAAGAGACTTTATGCATTAATTCCTGGAAATTTCACGACAGTATCACATTGAATATTCATAATCATACTTCTGATAAATAATCAGAATTAAAAAAAAATTTCTACATAAAGTAAATAAATTTTTTGGCAAGTTCCATTACCCGATCAATAAATTAAGCTTTAAAAGTGAAAACTGAACTCTTTAATCAATTGAGTTAAATTGTAATATAATAATTTAAATACTCAAATTGGTTTTATGACTCGAATAATTTGCCTTTCAACAAGCATATTCAAATACTGTAATAAGATTAGTTTGAAGAGCAATTACATTAGACCGATCAAATTATCATTACAGCATTATCGTTATCTTTGCACTTTATTATTAATGTTGGAAATTTATATATAATTTTATTAATCATAACGTATTTTTTATTTAATGATAATATTTATTAGCATTTGTAAATGATAACATTTTTTATTTTAATTAAAAATAAAGAAATTTTTACGGATGTTATTTTTACGCTCGTGTCTTGGTTAAGGTCAATAGGAAAACAAGTTTTATACCAATATTTCAAAAGAAATATTTTTTCTATAAAATTTAAGGTCCCAATAACTATATTTTATATGTAAAGTAAGAATAATGATAAATAATACAATAATGCTAATAAAAAAAAACAATACAATTTAATATCAGAAGAAAGAATCGTAAATACATAAATAAAAATTATGATCGATAGATAATAAAGTCAACAGAACAAGGCTAATAAAAATAGCAATATCGAAAGATATGTTTACAACACAAAATGGTTGATTCACAATATGTTGTTCCGAGAATCATTAGGTAACATTAATCTTTTTAAAGTATGAAGCTAGAGAAAAGCTTTCCATATTACCAAAGCTTCAATTAATAGGAATAATAATCAAAATCTGCGTTTAAGAAACGTGAATTACTTATAAGGATTTTGACTTAAAATCTAAGTTGGAATCCAAAGTTGGAATTCTTGAATCTTCCCTAAATAATTTAATATTGATTTATTAATTTTATAACTACTTTTTCTCATAATACATAATATGGAAAGACAATTTTTATCTTAAATCATAAAGCGACATATACCAAGTTTTTATTATAAAACCGTACTTCTCATATAGCTGTTAATCTTTTAAAGTTAGTTTGTTGAGTTTATTTGATTGAGTTTCTAATTCATTGATTTCTATCATTTTTCCTAAAATATCTTGGATTTCTTCAGCAGATAGCACTTCAGTCAATATTTTTTTACATCTTTCTAATTGTTTACGGGCATAAGCGCTATTATTATGTAAAACTTCTTTTTGAGAATCTACCAAGCTTTCTAACCATAGTTGATTACTTTCATCCATATTACTTTTAGCAAGACTCAATTGGTACTCCAAGCACTCCTCATTAACTTTCTTGGCCTCTAATTTTAGATCACTGTTGTCTTTAGAAAGGATTAAACTATTTAATTTTCCTATTTGATCTTTTAATACATGGTCACAAAAATAGATCTGTCTGTTGCTAGTGAAACTAACAGATTGTAATTTTGGTTTACTACCTAAGCTTAAATAACCAAGGGTAGTATAATTAATTGTAATCTTAGTTAACTTAGTACATTTATTAACCATCAAGCTAGTTAGTTTTTGTAGTTTATTCTTATCTTGACCAACCCCAAAGATATATAATTCGTTCAAATTAACAAAATCGTTAAGATCTAATTCTCCTTCCAAATTAACGTTATAAAAACAATAATCTGGAGCATTTTTATAGTTATTTTGATTTTCATTTATAGGATGATTATTACAGCGATAATCAATACTACTACTACTACATTTACAATTTTGACGGTAGATGTAAAGGGTTGTTGCTTTTTCTCTTACATCTGCCGGAATTTTTTTATTTAACCACTCGTTTGCATTTACCATTATTATAAAGTGTTAAAAAATGAATCCTTTGCTATCTTCACTTTTTTATTCTTAAAATAGGGCAATATTAAGTTTCTCTCTCAGATTTGAATATACGATTGTAGGTACTGAAGTACGGGAAATTTAAAACTGTACATAAATACTGAAATGCTGCTTTTACATTCTTTTTTGGAGGATGGCGCCAAATGCATAAGACCAGTCCATAAACAGGAATTTAGGTAATACAGTTCCTAACAGGGTATAATTTTTTGATCCAATTAAATTTTGAGGTGTGTTAATACAAATTCGTCGATCTTGCGTTTATTTAATCGAAAAGCATCGTGTCACACGTTTATCATTTTGAATTTTTTTTTTTTTTTTGGACAATGCCGGTATGTACTAATTTTAGGCCGGAGATGACTTTATTGAGCTGTCAAAACGTCAGTGTGTTACATGGTATAAGTGACAGGCCGAGACGGCCAGATGCGGCAAAGACAACCCGAGAAATTTGCAATAATTATTGCGCTGGGCGTCGCCGTAGGAGCGTTGAGCCGGCGGTTTCCCGCTTTGCTGACGCAAGCCGGCTGTGAACATAGAACATATGAGGAATGCGAGCGGAGGAATGGTAGGGTCACGTGGCCATCCATTGGGTGGGTTGGGTGGGTCGAGAAAATTTTTTGATCGGGTTTGTTGAGACCGAATTTCCAGTCCCCGCTATTTATGTGTCCCGCCCTTTCTTCTTTCATGTGCCCGTGAGGCTATGCGTTGCTTGGGCGTTGATGGTATATGCCATTGCATCATTTGCATATGGCCTTCGCATTCAATCAGTTTCCTTTTGCGACTTGGCGACCCCGGCTTCGTTCGGAGGCCCCGTGGCGTCCACGTGTTGCTCCCTCGCTTTTCGATTACGTGATCTACTATCACTCCGCAAAAAGGTCAAAAGACAAATTGAATCTGCTTAAAATTGCTTCCTTGCGTTTTTCGAAATGGTAGAAATGAGTAAAAAAAAAAATTTTCTCTTGTATACCTGTATACTGCGTATACTCATATACCGGATTAATTTAGCACGTTGATTTAAGATCGATGTTTGATTACATATTAATATAGGCTTACACATCGATCTACATGTCCGGATTAAACATTGCCGGTAATTTCCTTATGAGGCAATTTTGCTATAAATCCG